GGCCTATAGTTCCCAGGTTGGCACCTTGCCCCCTTTTTGAATATTGGGACTACCGTAGCCCTCCGCCAATCACTGGGGATCCTACCAGTCATTAAGGAGTCCTTAAAAATGAGGATTAATGGTCTAGTTATAACCTGGCTTAATTCCTTAAGTACCTTGGGGTGCAGGTTATCCGGACCCACTGCTTTGTTTGCATTGAGCATTTTAAGTCTTTGTTGTATCCCGGTTTCCGTCAACCACTGGGGTATATTTTGAGTTAAACTGGGAGTTTTATCATGTGTGTCAAACCCGTTTCCCTCCCGAGTGTATACTGAGGAGCAAAAAGCGTTCAGCACCTCTGCCCTCTCCTTGTCGTTTGTGACTAGCTTCCCGCTTTCATTTCAAGTTACGGGAGGAGGCTAATGGTAGGGGATTGACGGCAGTTAGAGATAGAGGAGGCACACTACAACACCATCCAGACGATGTAGCTAAAGTGTTTAGGGACTATTATACCGATCTTTACAATCTATCAGATACAGCCTTTACTCCAATTGATATGCAACTGACTACACGCGTCCAGAACTACCTGGCAGAGTGTGACCTCCCAAGAGTTACAATCGAAGCACTAGAGGCCTTAAACTCGGATATCACACATGACGAACTAAGGAACGTTATCCGAGCCCTGCCCACAGAAAATCACCAGGACCAGACGGATACCCGTGCTCATACTACAAGACATACATAGACACCCTCCTCCCCTATATGACAAGCATGTTTAACGGTTTTCTACATGGTGCTGTAATACCCACATCGTTCCTGACCTCTCACATAACGGTATTTCCCAAACCAGACAAAGATGGGGAGCTATGTGCAAATTACAGGCCTATAGCCCTTCTCAATTCGGATTTCAAAATTTTTACGAAAACATTAGCGAATCGTCTAGCCCAATTACTGCCCACACTTATACATAATGATCAAGTGGGCTTTGTGCTAAATTGCCAAGCAGGGGATAATACCCGTAGACTTGTGGACCTGGTAGACATTGTAAACAAGGAGAAAAAGGAGGCACTGTTGATCAGCCTAGATGCCGAAAAATCCTTTGATAGGCTTAGCTGGCCATTCCTACATGCGACACTGTCCCGTGTGGGAATCAGGGGCCCCTTTGCCCAAGCGATCCATGCACTATACTCCACTTCTTCAGCATCTATAAAATTGCGAACAGCGACTTCCGCAGCTTTGCAGATACGCAACGGCACTAGACAGGGGTACCCGTTGTCCCCTTTGTCGTACGCTCTATGTATTGAACCCCTTGCGGCACGGATTCGCAAGACACCAGATATCACGGGGATACAGATAGGAACGCACGATTATAAATTGGCTTTGTTCGCAGACTACGTAATTCTCTCACTAATGTCCCCACAACGGTCATTACCAAACTTGCTATCGGAACTTCATAGATACTCCAGGGTGTCGGGCTATAAATTAAATTTAGGCAAAACTGAAGTTCTCCCATTGAATATACCTCACACTCAATTGATCTCACTACAAACCACATTCCCCTCCAGCTGGAAAAGTGAAACAATTAAATATCTGGGAGTTTTTATTACAAATAATATACACTCACTATATGCGACTAACTACAAACCTTTGTTTCAATCACTACGGTTACAACTACAGAAATGGAAATCTTTGAGATTGTCATTCATGGGTAGACTGGCCTCGGTTAAAATGACATTGCTGCCGAAGCTGCTGTACCATTTTACCACATTACCAGTTAGAATACCAGCCATGGATTTGAAATCTTTTCAAAAAGAGGTTTTACACTATCTATGGGAGGGGAAGCGACACCGGGTGTCGCAGAAGATACTATACGCGACGACAGCAAAGGGAGGTCAGGCTTTACCGCATTTCCCTACATATTATCAAGCGGCCCAACTGAGAGTGGTGCCGGCTCTATCAAGGCTTGATCCCCCTACGAGCTGGGCGAACATAGAAGGCCTATGGCTCGCACCGGTCCACCCGAATGCACTGTTATGGTCCAATCCAGTGCGCTCTGCTTTCCTCCATGGGGCTTACGTTAGAAATATGGAATAAGGTTAAGATATCCAAAGGCCTGACGACGGCCCGTTTCCCATTGACTCCCTTCCTACTGAACCCAAAACTACAGGCAGGGATATCTAAGGAATGGGTGGGGATGTGGCGATCCAGAGGTCTGTTTCCCCTTCGAGATCTACTGGATAGGGTTACAAATAGAATACTGCCCTTTGAACAACTTAGGGAAGAACATGATCTCCCACTTAGAGCTTTATACTCATATTTGCAAATTAAACATTTTGCTCAGTCAATTGCTAAAACATTGACCTTCCCCCCACGTACCTCATTCGAGACTCAATGTTTGGCTCCACACTCCTCTAGAGGCATGATCTCATTTCTCTACAACAGGCTAAATAAGGACTCAGGGCAGGAAGAGACAGGCCACCTTTATATGCGGAAATGGGAAAACGCCCTGGCGACCACAATCTCGCCTCAGCAATGGGAACGTATATGGAGGACGGCAGCAAAGTCCTCAATTTGTTCGGTATATAGAGAAAATCACACACCGGATTTTCTCCATACACTCAACCCAAAGCTATCCCCAAATTGCTGGAGGTGTGATGGTGCAAGAGGCACCCTGTTCCACATATTTTGGACCTGCCCAGGAATTCAACCCTATTGGGGAGAAGTCAAACGCATCCTAGAACAAATAGTGGCACAGACACTCTCCGCTCAACCCATACATTTCTTGCTAGGATTGCCCTTCCCAGACCTCTCAAGGGCTCATAGGAAACTGACGACGCATATTCTCACGAAAGCTTCCCCTATCGAAACTAGATCTTTTTGCCAGAATCAAAGATGTGCAAGTTATGGAATACCTGACAGCACGGCTAAATAATACAGTAGAAGCCCATAAAGTGGTGTGGAGACCGTTGGATGTCTATGAGGAATGCACGAACTGAGAGGCGGAGGAGGAGTAGACAAGGGGGGAGCGTGGGGGGGACAGGTCCTGGAGTAAGGAATCAGAGGGACAGGGGTACAGGAGGAACACTGGTATAGGTTGCTCATGCTGTTCATATAGAACGCTATCCTGGAAGAATACTACACACACTTTCTTTTCTTTTCTTTTCTTCTCTTTTCTTATTACTATATCTTTATGATGTTTTAAGGTTGTTAGTTTAATTGCAGATACATAATGTAAGAAGGTATTTGTTGCATATTGATCTTAAATAGATAAGCTAATCCAGAACAGAATATTATGAGCCATAAGAAGATGTAATCACGACTCTCAGAGAGGTTGGTAGGAAATATAAGAAAAACCTGTTATATATAAGATATAGAGAAACAAACCTACAAAAGTATATGGAACAATGTCTGGGTTGTGATTTCTGGTAAAACGCTTCATGTTTTTTGATACCTCAAATGATGTCATAAGTTTTGTAACTCATATATGCGATTTTCAAAATAAAAATTGTCAATTTAAAAAAAAAAAAAGAATATAGTTGGAAAGAGTTTAGACCTTCGCTTCCAGATAAACTATAAAACAGAATTCATACTTATATACTAAAGCTAAAATCATTATTTAAGGTTAAATTGATGGGGGCGTGGCCACGATGTGAGCCTGAGTGCACGTGTCTTGTGAAGCTCCGTTGCCTCCGCTCGTAACATCCTGTTTTTCTCCTGCCTACCGCTCTACCTGGCAGCACTTGACCCTCTATCCCGTGTGGGACTCACTGGGGAGCAGATCTATGTCTGCCAAGTCCTGCAGACGTGCCGCTTCACAGAGGAAATCCACCTAGAACGCGAAGGGCACGGGTAAGGGGAAGGCCGGCGCCATCTTGGATTCCCTTTGTGCTCGTTCCTGGGCCTCTCCTGCCGCTGCTGGACATGGAGTGAGTCGGCGTGGAGGGGGTGAGTGGTGAGCCGTCCCGGATCTCTAACTCTGGGGACACGAGGTCGCAATCCCCGGAAGGAGCGGGGACCTCCGCGATCCTTGCAGCAATAGAGGGGTGCCAGGTTACCCTTACAGCCAAGATTGATCACCTGGCGGCATAATGCACCCTAATCCGCCATGACCTGGATTAAATCCGCACGCGCCTCACTACTGCTGAGACGAGGGTGTCGCATGTGGAGGATGAAGTGCAGGGACATACCGCCACGATTACGGATTTGCAACATACCGTGCGGGCGCTGGCTGCAAAAGTGGATGATGCTGAAAACCGCATGCGGCGGAATAATGTGCGCATTGTGGGAATCCCAGAGGGTGAGGTGGGTACAGATATGGTTCAGTTTGCTGAACACCTGTTCAAATTCCTGAATTACAGAGACCGAGACAGGATCCTGGCTGCAGCTCGTAAGTCTCCTGAATTGTGCTGTGGGAATGCGCAACTCCGGTTCTTCCCTGACTTTTCTACAGCGATCCAGAAACGCAGGAGGTCGTTCGTTGATGGGAGACGCAGGCTCCGGAGAAGGGAATACAGTATGGCATGTTCTATCCGAGTAAACTTTGTATCCAACATGCAGGCAAGGCTCACTTCTTCGACACCGTGACGCAGGCGGGAGACTGGCTGGATGTGTTGCGATAGAGGAGCTCCTTCTGGTATGGCTCACTTACCCGGTCCACCCATCTCACCTACCTCTGTGACTGTCCGGTAAGCCCAATATACTTTTCTACATGTCAGGAGCCCATTACGTGGGGACCGGGGAGTGCTGCTGCAACACCCGAGCATTCTAATGGTCACCTCATCAAGGCCCAGAAGTTGCCATACACTTTATGCGGTTGGCCAAGCTTCCATAAGGAGGCAACGAGTTCTTCACTACACTTGGAACTGGCTGTTTTTTAGTTTAGCCCGTCACCTTTTTCTTTTTGGTAGTTTGGGGTGTTTTTTATCCCCACACTGGGACACTTCTAACTGGGGGTGCTTTGACAATTGGTTGGGAGTTTGGGTCTAAGCTTCTAGAGGGTTGATACTGTATTGTTGTTGTTCCGTCTACTAGAAAGCAAGGGAGTTCTCAATGTTGGTTATGGGATTGTTTGTTGCGGGGAGGGTGTGCCAATTTCGTGCTCTGGGCGGCGGGAGGATGTTCTCTTTGATATGTATACTAGGCCTAAGGTGTCCATTAAGCTATCCTTGGCCGCACATGTGCAATTGGTTTTGCTATGAGGGATCGTATTGATATTCTGTCATGGAATGGGAG